GTGTTGGTCTGTGTGTGTCATATGTGTGTGTCATATGTATGTGTTGGTCTGTGTGTGTCATATGTGTGTGTTAGTCTGTGTGTGTCATATGTGTGTGTTAGTCTGTGTGTGTTAGTCTGTGTGTGTTAGTCTGTGTGTGTTGGTGTGTGTGTGTTGGTCTGTGTGTGTTGGTCTGTGTGCTCAAAGAAGGGAGGGGGCAGCTTTCCTTCTGCGACTGGCCACAGGTGTGTTACACATACAATCACATCTAAAACACAGAAGCCACAGAAAACTTTTAATTTCTGGACATTTTGGTTTGTAAACTTAGTTTCTGTCTCAGATTTTATTCAAGTGCAAACACACACACACACACGCACACACACGCACACACACACACACACGCATTTCTTCCTACCTGTGGAGCGTGACTCCCGGTCACTGCTCATGCCTCGTGCGCACCAATGCAGAGTTGTGCAACAGCGGAGCCGTCACTAACTCGTCTGTCCTTTCCGCTGCTCTCCTCTCTGCAGGCTGCCTCATTAAACTTTGAGCTGAACAGTTAAAAAACTCTTCTGCCGTTCGGTCCCAACTGGCTGCAGCATAAAAGGAGTAAATTAAATTAAATCTGTCCATTGGGTTTGAAGTCAGATGGAAGGATGGCATTTGCCAGCTCGGTCTCTGCGGCAGAGCAATGCGGCGTGGCCACAGGTGGTGCTTTGTGAGCCCTGACATCAACCTCACTATCAGCGGTGACCCAGACTGAGATAAAAATTCTTTTCTCTTCTAATTCTCTCTGTGTCTGTGTCCCGATAGTCAACTCTGGAGATGGTATCGACTACAGCCAGCAGAAGAGAGAGAACATCGGTGACCTGATCCAGGAGACTCTGGAGGTGTTTGAGCGCTACGGAGGAGAGGACGCCTTCATCAACATCAAATACATGGTGCCCACCTACGAGTCCTGCATTGTCAGCTGGGGGGCGGTGTCACTTTCACGTTGAACAGACTCTTGGCACCGTTCAGACCTGATGTGAACATCCGTCCATAGAGATCCGATCACAAGTGGATTCATACGCTGGTTTCACACCTTCATTATGATTTTCTTGTGTGCTTCACAAATAAAGTTATTATTACTATTGTTATTAAACTGCATCAGGTCACTCAGGACTGATGTCAGCCGGTCTGAATGGGGACTTTGACCCAACTCTTCCTCCTCCGCTCTGTCTTCCACTCCTCCTGTATTCATCATTATAACAGTAAAGTTAGATTTTGAGAAAGATGTTTCCTCATTGAAATAAATCACCATGTTTAACCAGTTGTCCAGTTTTTTTTTTTTTCACTTCAGTGATTTGTTGAGCTGATACAGAAACCCTGATGTATCGGGGCCTTTGTTTCCCATTACCACAGACATAAGTATTGTTCTTTGGCCCCATAACCCAGAAGCAGCGTCTTGTTTGGAAACGATGACGTGGACACTCACACCCCGCACGCTGATTGGGTCCTTTTGGTCACGACACATGACCCTTTCCCAAAGAAAAAAAACATCACTTGCCTCCACTACCAGTGTAGAACACAATATGGATAATCAATTACAAATGTTGCTGATGCTGTTCTTTGCTAACAACTGTCGTGCTGTTTAATTCTGCATAATTCTATAACTTCTTACATGCTTAGTGAACAAGCTCTTATTCAGGTGATTCCTGTTGGTGGCGTGCCTTAGTATAGAAATTGATACGGAGCCAAAGCGTTTGCGTAGACGGAGAAAACATCGTCATACACTTGTAGCCTTGAACTGCAGTTGTGGCCCAGCTCAAATTCACATCCGCTGCAGTCGATTCCTCCGTGAGGCGACAAGATTTCAACGCAGAAAAGGTGTCAACAAGTTCTCAGACCAGTCCTGCAGCATTTCTCTGTTGATTTATCGAGTCTGCAGGGTCACTGACATCACATCACAAGTTTCATTTTCAACGTTACGCTACGTTACGCTCCTGTGTGATAAACAAATTCACTGTCACAACACTACAGAGCTTTTAATTGAAAAGTTGCTAATGCAGCTTTAAGAGATGGAAGAAAGACTGATGTTGGTGCTGCAGGTCTTTCTTTCCTGTTCCCCTTCATAACGGCCTATTGAACATCAGCACTGTGTTTTGTCCTGCTCTTACAACTGCTTCTATTCACAACCGCGACAGTGTTTTGTATCGCATTGTACCACTGTACCCATTCTGTCACTGGCCCAGCTGGAGACAGAGCCTGTCTAAACACGATGAGAAAGACGCACAGGAATGACGGCCGACAGCATTCCTCTAGACAAACACACTCGTACGCACACACATTTGGTTCCTATCCTGTGAACTCAAACGCCCCGCAGTGATTTCAGCACACACACAGGCTTATTGATGAGTGTAGGTGAATGACAACATACGTGGGCTCTTTGTTTATCAGGAGCAGCCGCTAACTCAGGCAGCATCTTTAACCAACTCTTGTGTTTTCACACTGTGCAGATTGAAGGTGTTCTCTTCCTTCATCCTGTCTGCTGCATTAACGTCACTGTTGAAACTTCCTCCCAGACACAATGGAAGTTGTAGCAGCTTCACCGCCCAATCTCCCCCCCGCGAACCCCCCAAAAAAATCCTCTTCGACTGACAGCCCTTGCTCCCCCTCCTCTACCTCCTCCTCCCTCCATCCCCTCATCCCTACCTTACAGCTGTTGT